GGTCAGATTCGAGAGGGGCAAGCCGGGTCTCGTCAAAGTCGGGGCTGCATCGACCACATCTTTACATCACATCACTATTTGGAGCATCGCCATATGATTTGGTGACCCACTGTAGTCATTTTTCGACATAAAAAGTGTCTGTTTCGGTTTTTCATTCAGACCTCATAGGCTTAACGCTTCTAAATGCGGTGATGTAACACTTCCTTTTCCTCGTAGCAATCAGATTGCCGTCCCTTACAGTTATCAGCTCTCTCGTTGTGAGCGACAGACACATAGCCAGATCATCCACTAAGGTATCTGAGTAATCGTTATTTCCGAATCCTCCCTTGATCCACCCACTTTCGCGCAAGTCTAAACGAAGTCAGAAAATAATTTGTTCTCTAACTTAAGGCACTTCCATCACGCCGCACTTTGTTATTTTTGTGAAATTATACATTATCCTTGATTGGTTACACTGCTCCACACCATCTTTCCTGGATTTCTTTAGATATTTGGCACCTCGTAGTTCAAGAAAGCACATTTCTGGATATATCTGTTTGTCAGAGATTCCTTAGCTTGTTTTATGATTTATGGGCATGTTGATGTATTCCCGTTTCCTTCACTGCTACTAACTAGCGATGTTATATACTGCAAAGGGACCTTTAAAAAACGTTGCCAGACTCTTCCATAAGCTGAGAATGCAAAATTTATTTCCCAACACTTCATCGTACATCGATACTGTCTTGTCTTATCTAACACCTTTGCTTGTTAATTTAACGAAATTCCTAAACGTGCCGCGCGAGCGGTTGTTGGTGCGAGTTGTGCATTTTTTCTCTGTTTCACTAGATATTATGTTGATAACATCATCCACTGTATTCGCAGTGTTGGTGTAACTGAGGAAACTGAACACATTTCAGTTCATATAGCTGATTTTGTACTGGTGCTAAACAACCGTATCAATGACAATGACCTATAGAACGAAGCATAATAAGGACAGAAGGGAGAACATGCATGAGACCTTAATGCCTTAGGCAAACATTCAGAATTAAGACGCCTACAACTTTTCAACAGCCTACAACCACAAACAACTGGCTATCGTGCGAAAATAAGTGGCATCCACGAGACCGCTTTCTTGCGTCGCTCACTGCCCCACATTATAATCTGCCACTACTCAGCAGTTAGCTCAGCACCAAACACTAAAGGCAGCCCGACTAGGAGCACAGCAGACGCGCCACTGCAACATCTCGAGCCAAGCACAAGGCTGGTCACGCGGAGTCTAGTCCCACGTTAAGACATATCAGAAGCACTCAGTTTTGTCGTCGATGACCTCACCCCTTACTCTCAAGTCAACTCAATTAGCATTCCACACCACCTAACATTCGGCAAACTCGTCTATGGCCTACTCGGTGACGACCAAGGAGACCTTCACTCATCTTCGTAATCCCGGTCAAAGACTGCAAGGCGCGGGTTTCCTTCTGTGGCTAGTAGTTGTTTGGTGTGCATTGCTTATGCGCCTATTCCTTGTGCGCATGCAACTGCGGTTCCGAAGTGTTCCTTTCTTTTGAGTATGTCATTACTGCTTGATGTTGGCTGGTTGCAGTTTCGCATCCTTGCACCACACTACTGATAGCTGGTGCAGTAGTGTCTGCCGTTAGCCCACCATAATTTCTTTTTCCAAGGGAATAGCTTGATTAATATCGGCCATCACTCTACTGCGCACATCATCACTGCACATACACTGCTGTCATCTGACGCAATCGAAGCTCTGCATTCAGAGGTGCTCATTTACCTGTAAGCAGCTCAGAGCCTCAAACCGAAGGGAACAAGCCTTACTACCGTCAAGAAGCATGCCACTCACTGTGGTTTTGTACACGCGACCTTTTAGATCGAGGGAAACTCCGGCCGGATACCACGGATGCCGCAGTTTCAAGGAAGCACTTCCAGATTCCGCCTGAAATAAGCTATTGGCGTTTCATGTTGATTTCCGCGGTTCGATCCTTCACCACGATTGTCTGTAGGACAGCCTTGAAATTCTGAGTAGCTCGCGATTACCCTCAGCTGAGCTGACAACGTCATGCAGCACAATACATAAGAACAGTGAGCTTCATCCATACTGCTTTCAAAGGCACGGCGCGAAGGGAGACTTCTACAAACCTTCCCAGAAATCCGGATTTTCTTGCGATTTGAGAGAGAGTTAGCTCGCGCTTTAAACACTTCATCCAAGATCACCACAAGGCGTGCTGCGCACAGATCCAATCTAGCAATTTCCTATGGAATGTAAAAGGTTGGTGCCCCATCCAAGCTGAAAAAGTACCCCGGCATTCTTCTGAATCAAGTCACTCACTAGGTGAAGAGTTTGAACGGCATGTTGTTCTCAAGAAACTGAAGATAGGCAGCGTGTACTGACCTTGGATACAAATAAAGTTTCCCACCTGGAACTGTATCGAAATCTAGTTGCATTCGCGCCGCTGGTCTGAAGCATAAGCGAGCTCAGGACTTGGGTGGTTGATCTTCAGCCACCCTGCTGAACTCTTTACAGATCAGTGCAGCACAGGGTCCACTTTACTGCCATGCTGTCATATGGATATTAGGCAGGCCGTCTATGTAGGAGAGTTTGTAGGATTTACCAAAGAATCGACATGCATTTTGGACACCAACTATCTGTCATTTGGTGGTTGTTCTGCGAAACTGGCAGCGATTCAGGTCGTGCAATTCGAATCGAGCCTCTCAACATCGATGTTTACCTTTCGTGAAGGTCAGGAGAAATGACGAACATGCCAAAACATGTGCCGAGGAACGTTCACAGGTCCCTCTCGCTGGATTATGGGGCCAACAAGATGAATCAAGCCCGAAGTTAGGCCCCTTCAAAGACATCAAGTGGCATGCTGAGAGTCTCTGAAAGTGGGATACATCCCCAACTGGCAATACCAATAAACTTAGGGGAATAAAGCATGCGATGCCTACACGCCACACCTTCCCGGGGGATTTGTTACTGCACCAGACTGGCGACTCCGAATCCGTCGAGGGACTTGGAGGTCGCAGTCAGGATTATTTGCACCCATTTGGAGACTTGGGTTTGAAATCGAAGGTCTAATCGGAGTCCCAGGGTGGCTAATAAATAACAACAACCTAATCTGTATCCTTTCCCCGGCCATCGCGGTGGATTTTTAGATCTAACTACGATAGTCACCGAACAAATGATATTATTGGTGGGGCTATCTGGAAGCGCTGGAGTCCTACTCGAAACTACAACTCCTAATAGGTGTGGCTCGACTGGCCTAGCAGCAGAGAGTTATGGTTACTCCCGGCCATCGCTACTGATGCAGCTGTCAAGGTAGGTGAATTGATTAACTACCTCGAGTTTCTCGACATCAGTGGTCAAGGGAGCATCAAGTGGCTACTGGCCTTTCAACAACTTGCACTGCGAGATTGCGAATCAAATACCAAAATGATGAGACCCCTACAGAGAGGTTATTCAGGCTTGCCTGGGCCACCCCAGCATCGTTAAACAGCGAGACAATACCGTACGTATAGTCATGATCGACTAGTGTTCCACCAGGCAGCACGTCAACGTCTGCACCATGAGATTTTGCAGGGGAACACTCAAGGCTGGAGTCTGCGACTAAGATGAACTAAAGTAGGGAAATTGAACAACCTTGAAGGAGGCCAGTTGTCGTCGAAAGGACATTCGACTAACCATTGTAGACTCTAGCCCAGCCTATGGTTTTTGGATACAGCGCCTGTAAAATGTTCACATATTTCATGGAAACGCTTTTCCGCGCTGTCATGTATTTTACATTTCCTCTGATCGCATCGCGGTCAGAGTTCAACAAGTGCCGTTCTAGTGTGATTTGGTAGCGTTACTGACGTATAAATATGTGCATCAATAGAGGGGTAGTTCAACTGCGGGGAAAGTATGAGACCATGCAAAACAGTGGATTTTGTCTGCTAAGGTATGAAAGGATAATAGGCGCTACTGGATAGTGAAAATGTCGAAGTACCCTGAGTAAACTAGGCATCGGGTGCGGTGGTGTTTAATACAAAATGTCTCTTCCTCTTTAGATTCTGTGAAATTATGCTTTACAGATACAGTAGCCATAGGAAAACCTGTCGTTACAACATACGGAGCAAGAGTAAACTAGGTTCGCTCAGTTTGTATAAGCTTCTGAGCCTAATAGATGGCGTTTCCAGTAAACGTTCACGAATCAGTAGGGATGACATCAAAAGGTCAATTTTGGAGTCGACCAATGACAGACAAAGTACGAAACTAAGAAGCAATGAAATGAGGCTGACAGAGCAGTCCAACAAATTCCACTGGAGTCTCTAGTTCACTAACCGTATGTGATAGCGCTAAAATGCTCGAGCAAATTCACTTAGGGCCAAGCTCAAGTTGCTCGCACGCAACTTTAACGCTAACGGTGTAGTTTAAGACAATCTTCCTTATATACATCCATGTGATGTCTTAAGTCAAATTGCGTGTATCGGACGGTGCCGATGGGTGCCCACCAAGAGCAGTTGAAATATCAAGGCACACCACATCCGCTTGACAAAAGTAGTGTGCAACTTGTTTTCGCTTATATCTGAAATTACTTCTAAAATTTTAGTCTACCAGAAACGGAGTTTTATTCAATCCGATATAATAAGAAAATAAGCTACTCATGAACGGTCTGGCGCACCCGATATGTCTTTACTGGCAACAAAACAGCCACATAGGTGAGCTATCTTCCTTGGCCTGGGCAACTGGGAAGATCTCTGCCCGCACAAAATATTAACCTTGTAAACCTTTCAAACTTTTCTACTGTCTACGTGTTTTCCCCATTTTATTATTATTATTATTATTATTATTATTATTATTATTATTGTTAACCATGTGTTGCGGCACTGACAATTGTATATTGGTCAAGTGTTGAATAATAACAACAATAATAATAATAATAATGGCTGAGCTATGGCACCGGGATAAAGCATATCGTTATCAACAGACGAGTAAATAACACTATCTCAACAATTGCTGGACTTACGAAATCCCACAATGAGTATTTCCACAAGTCCTTCAGCTCCAGTGCGTGCGCGAACATCCCCTTGAGTGCAACCACGATTACTGCAGACAAGCAACACTGAAAGTATTTAGCAAAAACTTGCGCAATAAGTTGATCACATTTATCAAACAATTGTCAACTGTGAAATAAATGTGCGCATAGTCGTCACACGTTGACTAATGATTATTGCACAGTCCTCCTTGCTCAGTTCCGTTAATTGAGCATGTTCCGACAATTGGTTTTAAGTTCCAAGAAACTACTAGAATGGTCGCGAATATATGAACCAAAGACTCACCAGTTAATGTTACAACTGTATCGTAGGGAGTCACATACAACCAAGTGCAGTTTGCGACAGTTAAGATAATAAGATCTCAGAACTTTGCAACCTTAGTAGCTCATGTCCGTCTAGAATCCAGGTTTTCCGTAGTCACACACTATGTATAAAATATGGAGAAACCAGACAGGAAGGTATATTTGAGAAGATGGAAATGCCTTTCCGTCAATATATTTTAATGGTCTAGTCTTGACATCACTATTGTCAACCAATAAAGAGACAGCCATTGTGTATCCAATAACTGAGTCTCCCTTACCCAATGGCGTTAGGTTGCTTTTCCTCTAGTTTTATTGTTTTGAAAGAAACGTGAATAAGTCCATAGTTTATTATGGTTCAACACGATTACTGCCACGTGTTCTGTCAGTGAAAACTTACTGGACGAATTGTATTACTTTAACTACGTAGCACTGATTTCCGTCTCTCTCATAGTAATCTACAACAGTGGAACTTAGACAAACCGACTAGACTAGTACCGTATTTCGCATTAATATTTAAGCAGACTTCGTAGTCACACCGTTATTTATATCTCTTTGAATGTTTGAGCAAGCGATAGGAAGGAAATCTTCAGGTAAGCAGGCGAGGCGCCCATGGCCGATACGTAGCCAAACCATGGCCGCTGAGCGACACTCTCCCGCATGAATTGGAAAGACTTGTAGACAGCTGGGTGAACCGGCCAGTTAGCATGAGAGCGACATTTCCCGATTGGCCCTAAGTTGATTCTCCTAGATGTTTCCAAGTGAGGTTTAAATGTCACTCACGAACAATCCATTCAAATCTTTATACTGGACGGCGTGCGCAGCTAATACACCTGACATGCTCTCGCCTGTCAGAAACCGGGGTTTCCTCTTCACTGTCGGGGGGTCATTGATCTCGAGTTCCCATTAACAGCCAATCGTCAAACCAGGCGAGGCAGGACCATTTCAGCTGGCGCCGGAATGGACCCTAATCATAATCATTGTAGCGGTTGTGGATTTCAAGAGCATTCTGCAGCAGCATGAAGCAAAATTTGTGACGTCGCAGCTCATGATAGCAGAAACTCTTGGCTGTCTAGCACATTTCTGGATGTGTGTTGGCTCTGTGACTGAGAAGAACTGCGAGGAATCTTCACAGCAAACAAAAAACTCCTAATACTTACAAATAACCAGTAGTCGCCTTAGCAACCTACGTGCCACCTTGCTCAGTGTTAGCTAGCAAAGGAAATCGTTGCTCTGGGGACCAACCCTGTCCTCTGCACGTCCATAATATGCATGACAGAGGAAGATGAGCCCCGATATAATGCAGTTAGATATCAGTCATGGCGGTCTGCTGTCGTCACCCATGGCTCAGTCAGAGAAGTCGCTGGTTCGCAATCGTAAGGTTGTAGGTTCGAATCCGGCAGTATTCGGCGGGTGCGCGCTACTGAGGAGTTCCAATAGGACGAAACGGTGGTCTAGCACTTTCTTGGAGAGGCGGTGGCTGTCTGCCTGAGTTTAATTGCGACAAATCTTCAAGAAAACCAAATAAATTTCCCTACTGCTTACAAAGAAGCTCTTACTCATCAGCTGTCAAGCGACGCCACCGCACAGCCTGCAAGCCTTAAACCGTACGCACCGATAGACGCCGCTTCTAACAGTATGGCCAATGTTACGTACGATCCGGATGCCGGCATCCTTTCTGAATCCTGACTCAAGCGTGTTGAAGATACATTCCGTGTTGAACTTAAGGACCTTGACGACGGATGGAAGGTCCGATGGCTGTTAGGGAAATTAGAACAGCAAAACACTCCAGCTGTATCAATTTTATTCTACCAAAACTGTTCGAGATTGTAGGTTTGATGAGAGCATCACATGTTTGTGCCACTGACGCTTCTTACGCGCCACTCTGCTTAGTACACGCACACTGACGATGTCACCTCGAGTGGTGACGAAACGTTTGCAGTCCACCTGCCGAGTTCAGCGAAAAATCAGACAACCAATTGTACCAAATAATCGGACGGCAGTCATCCATTTTCGACAAGCACCATCAATATCTGAAATGTGCCAAAACGTACGCTGGCGACTACGTTACTTACGCTGGCGTTGTCAGCGTAAGTAACGTAACGCGATATCGGAAAATGCGACTTCAAATCCATTACGACTGATCAGGTCAAATGTCTAATTTTTATCTGTGACCTACATTTACCACGGGGTGCATAGCTTCGAAGCAGGCTGCTGAGCAAACTTGAACCAGATCCGCAATTGAATTTGCAAACAATCACTACCGAACGTCAAAAGCTGTTGAGCCTCTAACATGACACGCCGATGTTGGCGAAGCAACAGTTAACCCCCAGTTTTAGTGTACTGAAGACCAGTACAAAGAAACCGCCTCAATGTGGGACCGGCAGGGAAAAACCTAGGAGGAATACTAAGTCCCAACTGCCTGTTGAAAATGCGGTGAATGGCATTTTGTTCGAGTATATCCATTTCTGAAACAGGTTTGCCGGAAGTGTCGCAGACGGGGCCATAAGAAAACGGACTGTCGATCTGGACTGCTATTCACAAGTGCTAGACACGCGCGACCGAATTCGCATGTTCCCAAACGCTTCCGCAACTATAGCACAGTTCAAGCGGCCTGCTCTGGTAAACATGTACTTCGCGGGAAGTACATTAGAGTCCACTTAAATAGACATCAAGTACGTCTTCAGTTAGACACAGCCTGAGTAATCACAATTATATCCCACAGAACTTGGCAGTATCTCGAGGCTCCGTCCATTAGCCCAACCGTACATGTTGCATTTAATGCTTCTGGTGGTCAAATTAAGTTCATTGGTGAGTTATACTATGAAAAGACATTTTTCTCTGCCCGGGAAAGCTGCATCATGCACATCACAGAACTGCCTCATTTGAATCTCCTTGGTCTTGACTGCATCCAGAAGCTCCACCTCTTTTAAATTTCCTTGAGTCAAGTTCGCAGCAACTCCCAGCTCAGATGTGCCAGATCTCCATCGGACGTGGATAAAGTAAAGAAATAAATGATCGATCAGCTTCGAAATAAATTCCAGTCAGTGTTTTGGAACGACTTGGGATAATGCACAAAAAAACAATGCAAGCGTTACATATAAGGAAGTAGCCAAGCCTATCTTGTGACCCAAAAGACAGGTACCATATGCTGTTGTTCCAGTTGTTGACGCCGAACTCAACCGGCTGGAAAAAGCCGGCCTCATCCAGCCTGTAAAATACTCAGTTTGGGCAGTATTTATTGTTGTCGTCAAGAGGACCAATGTAAGTGTTCGTATCTGTGCTGACTATTACACTGAATGCTGCTTTAAAAATACACCAGTATCCTTTGCCTGTCCCAGTATGTTTATTTGCTAAGCCCAGTGCTGGCACTTGCTTTGCAAAGCTAGATTTATTAGATGCTTTTCTTCCAGCTGATGTCAGATAGGAGCCAAGGACGTTACTAATGATCAATACGCATCGAGGCATTCACCAGTTCAACCGTTTGTCATTTGGTGTCAAATCAGCTCCCGCCATCCTTCAGAAAATTATGGATGCGATGTTAGTTGGATTGTCGGCAGCTGCCGTTTATTTGGACGAAATTATTATCAAAGGAGCGCCCCAGCGAGAGCTGACGGAAAGACTGGAAGCAGTCCACGACCGCATTTGTGACTACGGGTTTTACTTGAAAGTAGAAAGTTCAGTAGCGGTATGAATTATGTAAACTATCTTGGTTTCATCATTGACATGCATGGCCGTCGTACGGATCATTCTAACAATAGCACCACCAAACAGATGCCTCCCCCTGACAATGTCGCGTAGCTCAGATCATTCGTTGGGTTGATCAGTCACTACAACTCATTTGTGCTCAAAACGCACCGACTACGAGGACTGCTAAATGAACTTCTAGTGAAGGATCTTAAGTGGGTTTGATCACCTAAATGTTAAGCCGCATTGCAAAATGTTAAATTTTATTTTCTTCTGATCTGTTGCTAACGCATTTTGACCCGGAGCCGGAGATCATAGTTGCTGCTGAAGTGCCAGACTACGGAATCGGAACGATCATATCCCACGTTATCCGTGATGGTTCGGAAAAAGCTCTGGCACACGCAGTCAGACCACTCACTCCAGCGGAACGCAACTATGAGAAGGAAGTTTTGTAACGCGTGGCACTCCGTGAATCAAAATACCAAAGTCTGGGCCTCGATCACAAATCTGTTTGGTCAAAAGCTGCGCACCATTGAGCGATTCCGACTCGTTCTTCCTTGATCGGCTGCCGCTGGCTGAAAAGTAACATATTCATTGATCGAGGCAATTGACCGTGCTGGCTTACGAGGCGCTTCTCGCTCATACGCGTGGGCGTGGTTGCTTGACTGGCAATGATTGATCACCTTTCAGACGGTCGGCCGAAATCCACTCAGCTCGCCCGTTCGATAGGCAACCAGCATGATTAATACTGCAACTCACCACCACACTTTGCTTATAATGATTGCAGTCAAGCGATTCTACAAAATGTTATACGGAGGCAAATTCACGATGTTTACCGACCACAAACCACTGGTTGCAATCTTTGGATGAAAGAAAGGCATTCTTTACTGTATGGCTAGTTGTCTCCAACTTTGCGCAACGGTTCAACTTGGTTGCAATTTTGACGTCAAATATCTCTCCACATACAACATTGGCCAGGCGGGTGCGTTATCTCGTCTAATTGGTGCACAATATAAAAACCAGAACATTTGGTTGTTGCTTAAAGTTTCGTGGAACTACAAGTGAAGCAAGTTGTATCCGACGTTCTCGGTGTCCCACCAGTAACCTTTGATTTGGTACAGGAAGCGACTCGTCATGATCCTACGTTCCAACAGGTAATCCAGTTTCACCTCAATGACTGGTCTAAGAAAGCTACAACGCTGGAGCTACAACAGTTCCACCAGCGGAGGGAAGCACTTTCTGTCATCAACAGCTGTCTGCTATTCTCAGACCGCGTTGTATTTCCTGTCCTCCTTCAAAAGAGCATCTTCCGGAAATTTCATACTGGGCAACCAGGAATGAATCTCCTGAACTCGTTAGGACGAAGCTATGTTACTGGCCCTACATGGATTCCCGGATCGAACGTCTAACGAAGAATTGTCCCCGATGTGACAGTGTTTCTAACTAGCCCAGGAAGACAGAACTGCAATCCTGGCCAAGACCTACGGAACCATCGTCCAGATTACACATCGACTTTGCAGATCTAATTTACGGTCAACATTTTCTCATCGTTGTCGGCGCCCACAGTAAATGGCCCGCGGCGATTTCAATCTTGAAGACTACTGCAACAGCCACTGTCTCCGCTCTTCGACAGATGATTCTGGTTTAGGTATTCCCCATACTTTGGTCTCGGTAATGGTAATCAGTTCACTTTATCTACATTTGTTGACTACCGTCACAGAAATGCGATCATCCATGTAAACTCCCCTCTTTTTCACCAACAATCGAATGGACAAGCGGAACGTTATGTACATACACTCAAAAGAGCCTTGCTGAAAATGAAAGGAGAAGGCAACTTGGCAGAGATGATCGACCCGTTTCTTCTGACTTGTCTCACAACTCCAGACACCGAAAGCGTTGTCCTAGGCTGAAACCCTGTTTCAGAGGAAATTCGATGTGTTGCATGATGCCTACAGACTCCGGAAGGAATAGTTACCACTCCTTAATCTCAAGATGGAACGTCAGTACAACATTTGGCATGGTGCCCATTTGTGAGCCGTTCTTGTTGTCAAACAAGTTCTGTCGACGGATTATCATAATCACTATCGCAAGTGGGCCATGAGCCATGTGCGATACAAACGCGGTAACGTGAGCTGCGGTATCCAGGTTGGGACGGAAATTTGGGTGAGACCTTCCAATCAGCTGTTAGCGGCGAGGACTGACAGACCAATGCAAAAGCAAGTAGCGGCAGTGAAGCTACCTCTGGACATAGTGGTCGACGCAGGTGGACCGGCCACTTCCTTACACTCCCAACAACTCAACTTCTTGATTCGCCCCAAAACCTGGTAGTCCAAAGGCCGAAGCGACGGCACAACTTCGTGTCACCCACGCAGGTCAACCCAAAGCTGAAATCATGCCATATAACTCAAAGGGGGGAAAAGTTAGGAAGAAAATCTCTTAGCAAGCAGGCGAGGGGCCGATCACCGATACGGAGCCAAAGCACGGCCGCAGGGATTGGAAAAACTTGTGGGCAGCTGAGTGAACCGGCCAGTTAGCCCGAGAGCGGCCTTACACGCTTGCTCGTAAGTTGGTCCTTCTAAATATTTCCAAGTGAACTTTACACAGCGTTCACGAAGGTTCCAGTTGACCTTTATATTGGACAATGTGATTAGCCCATGTTCCTCTCTTCTTCTCTGCTCTTCCGAAACCGGTTTTTCTCTTCACTGTGGGGGGTCGGTGATCTCGTGTTCCGATCAATAGCCATCGGTCAAATCAGGCGAGCGATGACCACTTCGTTAAGCGAGCTAATTTGGGTTTGTAAGTAGTAGCCAAGTTCAGCGCGAGTAAATCGGCCTTCACAGAGATGTGTCGATCATTGTTTGCTAAAATATTTTAATTTGACAGAGGAACACCTCAACAAACGCGATTTATCGGCAACAGGAAAGTTAAGCACATAGTTTAGTTGAGTCACATGGTAGAGCATCAGTATAAATTCGTCCCTTGGTGTGGCAGTAACAAGCACATAATCAGATAGACCCCTGGCAAATAAACCCTGTTGCCCATGGTTCGAATTCATCCGGGTGAAGTGTAAATCAACCGGCAGCGAACCGACTCCCATGCGCAGTTTAGATGCTTGTCTATCATTTGGTACAGTTAAGCCTGTGTTGTGACAATCGCTGTCGTATGGGGGATTTTAGTTGGGATCAATGGCGCCCATCATACGGATTTTTACTCTCGTGGAACAACAGTGAGCTTCAGCAGCATAATGAACGCTATAATAGACACCCACAGGAAATGACAAATTGCGGCTTATGTCGCAGTCGCTGCTTCACAGCGATAAGTGATAGCTCATGTCAGAATCTGTGTAAATAGCTGTTAGCCGTAGCACTACATTGAGACAAGGCATGATTAATAAAGGCCTCATAGTTAGTTATAAGTCCATTCGCATTTTGATCCATCAATCACGCTCCGATATTGACTCCTGAATTCTGGTATTTGTGACATGAGGCCTACTTGCCACTGCGAGAAAATGGAACTACACCAGGTGTAACGGGTTATACCCATTACTGTAGACCTGACTGTCTACGCAAGTTTGTAACCACCGTACTTACTTGCACTGGAAAGTGTAGGTAACCTAACAACTGGCTATAGAATTGAAGACTGGTCGCTCAGGTTGTTCAGATGGCAGTTGAACTGTTCGCTGAGCTGGGTAGTTTTGTTGCAAACTTTTCGTCACTAATCGAGGTGACATCATCAGTGCGTATTTGCGTGGCGTGCAGTAGCGCTACTCTGCGCCATTGCACGCCACTCAACTACGCACTGATGATGTCACCTCGATTGGTGACGAAAAGTTTGCAACAAAATTGCCAGGCTTAGTGAACAGTTCAACTGCCAACGTGACAACTGTTGTTGCAACCGAAGCACATGTGACGTCACAGTAAACCCATGTGCCTGAGGCGGTAAGCACGTTTCTGTTCGTACACCGGGGTGGGGTGCAAAGTTGGGGTAGGCATCACGTAGTAGGACTGACGCTTTACCTCAGGGTCCAGTTAGCGCAAGCGACTCCAGTTAGCTGGTGTGTTTGTGTCACACTGGCGCTACAACAAATCGTGTTACGGTACAGAAAGGTAGAGGGTAACAAGTGGAACGACTACTTTGAGCGTTAGGATGCGTTGCCTGACCCAATGAATTCCATAACTTTGAACTAGAACGCAGGACACTAGTAACTCACTAGCGGGAGTGAAAAGAGGTAAGGTCCGAAGAAATAGATCACCACAAGAAGTAAGCCAGATGAGACAACTGTGGTGATCTGGGTCTTGCCACCTGCAGAAAGCTGGACAGCTGAACGAGACAGAGACGCTGCCACTGGTATTGTTTGGAAAAATGAACCCAGTGAGTTGGAAAATCCGTTAGCGTAGAGCTCCTGCAATGGACAATTGGGAACAAACGATATCGCACATGTGATTTCGTCATTTTCTGAATCTGTTGCAATAAACAACACGTTAACTGAAGTGATCCGTTGCATAGACATTTGTCGACAAGGGATGGAAGGGTTTTCTAGGGTCAACTGGATAGCAGCAGACATGTGGTTGTGTTTATGTAGAACATCTGATGCACAGATTGACGCAAAGCGGTATCGCCAATCCAATAACAAAATATCAGATTGACAAGAGGACCAGATATTATCTCTAATATTGACGGTCCACCATAATTAGCCTGAAATAAACGAAGTTCTAAATGAACCGAATAAATAAATCTAATATGGCAACCAAAATAACACTTACTGAACCTACAAGCAACCTGGTCAACGCAAATTTGTGATTGATATACACCTACCTGATTGGCATCCACTTTGTAATCCAATTCTTTTGCCAGTATCCGGGCCATAGAAATGGAAACAGAATAAGCCACGATGGCTATCACGAGAATATCAGTGATGGAATCGCTCAGCTCATTGATTGCAGGTACTAAAGGAGGTGGAATACTGACGGGAAGACAAAGTGAAGCATTTTATTAGACGGGGTTACATTATGATTTCGCATTCACTAACTACCGTCCAGATAGCCATTCAGGTAGTGTTGATGAGCGACTAAGGTACAACACCTGATTTTTCATCATTGGCTGCATTGACATGGTGCAGATATTAGGGTAACAGAGCATAACAGTGCAAAAGAAAAAATGATTAGCTCTCTTTTCGCAATGTCGGCCGCACATGTTGCGTCCCTCGTTAATTTCAAACCTACCCCATCGCATTCTGGGTTCCCACCTGATCATCTTGAATTCGCAAGTACCACCTAGTGAAGCTATTCCCTAAAAGATACTGTCAGTGCATCCTGTATCGATTTAGTTACAATTCCCGTGTAGTATTTCACCGAAAAGCACGCGCAGAGCATTGCTTAATACCAACCGATAAACCCATTTTCCCGTCGGTTTAGGTAGAACAATCCAACTCTGTTAGAATAAGCGCTCACTCTTTCCAGTTAACCATTGTGTGTAGCAGCTACAGGGCAATTTACGTTTCACTCCAGCGAATCCTACTCAGGCTTTCGACAAATTTGCAATGCCATTCACCACCTTTACCGAAGGGGACCGTATATCCGGTCACGAAGCTTCCTGTGATCTACCGCGCAAAGAATAATAATCCAATAGTCTGCCAGCTGAAAGGCAGACAAGGAACTGATTTTATGTAAAGTTTCGGTATATACGGGAATTTGCTTGTTATCAAAGATCGAGTAACATTTTAGTGAATTACTAAGATCCACAACTAATTGTTTCACTACACGAGTTCCAGGGTTTCGTATAAAAAAGAGTTTAGATTGGACCCTGTGCTCACAAATGAGGAACTCATGGCCGACCCGATATTTAGGCTATTAGGTCTCAGCGACCATGTTATTACAAGATTGAACTGTGTTTGCTAGCAAGTAAGGCCAGGAAATTAGGTTATGTACTCTGGATGGGTGAATAATCAGCTACAACGCACACGATTTCAATAACATACCAAAATAGAATAAATTACGAAACAGTACCTTAAAAGCGGCATATTTAATGTTACACAGAAACGCCTTCATACTGATAATCGGCTGGTTAGATTTAGAACGACGGAGTTGTGGTCTGGCAAAAAGTTCGAAAGTTAAGGTATGACCGGTGAGCGGGAGGCATGTGTGCGAGCATATATCAAGCTGCACTTCTGCATAGTAGAATAATTTGACAAGCCTTCGGTTAAAGCGATAAACTGGGAATGACTTGAATAGGCCAGTATCTTAGATGTCAGTTTCTTACAAGTGTGTTAACAAAAGCAGGAATCGGAATGCCGCTACTTGGGGAAAAACACAGTGGAGCACTAGTCCAGTGATGAGGAACGAAGATATTGACAAAGCTAAGAATTTACTCACGAGGGATAGTGGAGGCTCTCAGATGCGAGTTGTAGAACGTTAATCTTCAGATTTTGTGAAACTTTCATTCATATGAAGAGTCCAAGATAAATCATAGTTCAGTACCACACCTGAGTTCCTAACTGATGCAACCGTGTAATCCATCGCTGTCATTAGGCAGGTTGGTGAACTGTGTAAGTAGCTACTCGGGCCTAACTTCTTTGTGTCGCTAAATGAATATCATGACATTTCGATGCATTGAGAAACAGATGACGAGCATCGGACCAAACATTGAAATCGTTCAGAGCTTGTTACCTGAGCGAGCAATCGTTTGCTCGATGCTTGATACCTAGGAAGGTGTCGTCAACATACTTTAATAGAATCATTTCTACGTGGCTAGTATTGAGCTGGAGAAGAGAAAAGGGAACGAAAATTCTCCCTGAACGATACCGGAGTAGCTAATTAGTGTGAAGGAACATCTGTCACTGAGTCTAGTAAGCTGAGAGTCTACAGCATAATAAGCACTCAGCAAATGGACGATAGAGGAAAGTATTCCTTGAATGAGTATATCTTTAAGCAGGACTTCGCGAGTTACACAGCTAAATGCGTTGCTATAGCCAAGTATACACATACGAGCTGGTTTGTTTCTCTTGTCAAGTAGTGATCGCACAGAATGTACGGGGCTGGCCACTGCATCTATAGTAGTTCTCGAAATACGATTGACGAGTTGAAGGGGGTCATTCGAGTGCGTTTGGGACAGTGTCAAGTATGATTTAAATAATAACCTGCAAGGAAAAGGAAGTGCATATAAATAAATAAATACATAAAATACATAATGATATATTCCTCGGTGATGTGAGGTGCAGTCCAACTATGTGGTCTGATCAATATGTACAACAGGATCGTAAAGAATAAGCAATTTGTTCACGCTTTTCACAATGGGATCCAAAACGGGTATTAATGTATTTGGCAGGATTAAGGTATTAAAGAAATTAAAAAGTCAGGGACAATAAGATATGTAGCTTTAAACAAATGTCCAGGTAAATACTACCGCCACTCGTGGAACCGTCCCCAGGGGACCTGTTTCCCTCGGAAGGTTTCACCCGCACTTCCATGCTATACCTGGCCGCGTGCCAGTGTGGGATGGTAGAATATAAGCCATCACCTGTTTATCCTATGTTTTGTTCTTTTTAGGGCTGTTTTTATACATGTATTATGAACGATGAAGCCTCAGCCCAGTCCGTCATGCGGATCATTCAATTATGGCACTTTTTATACGCCAGTCAGTTGATGGCAATGTGCCTTGCATAGGTAAAGTCTTTTATAATCTGGAAGCTATAATCCGTCGCCACAGGATATCAGACCAGTCGTGGCCAACAATGAAATAAGGAAGTATGTAGAAGAAGAAGAAAAAGAATTGTGTAAAAGAGGTACTATATCGTTAAGATACAAAAATAAGCAGGCATGTTTTTTTTACACCAGCGTAAAAATGGATCGAGCCGATCACACACGCACACATATATATATATATATATATCCAGGCAACCGTCTATAAAATCGACATGAAGCCATCCATAACCATGGAACTGGGAACTAAGAATAATAAATTGTGCAAAATTCTGTATGGAATTTGATACCGAATGAAAAAAAACGGAACAACTATTTTCTCCTTTTACACAGGTCATTTTGTATTTTTCTTGCGGTTTTTAGGATTTAGTGTTTTTGCGAACGTGAGTTCAGGCAGACTTGCGTACACTGCTTTCATTGCGACCTGTTTTGCACCATTGCTTTCAGCTTTGTTAGCCATTGAGAAACTTCATCTTTTGGTCCCCAGCCGAGAAGTCGAAGGGGACCAGCGATGGCCAGGCATGATGTCATTGGTTTCATGCATTATCGCCAGGTGGACAGTTAACCACCACGCGGCCTTTTCTAAAGTGATCCTGCGTGCGCAAACAGGGCGCGGCGTGATAAAAGCTCGTCAAGCATGAACAGGACGGAGCCAAACCATCTCAAATGACGCAGTCGGGCAACATCACAAAGCGTAACATTCGCCTTGCCCAAGACGCGGTGTCTAACCTTGTCATTCCGCACTCGGTATTGTTAGCACACGTGAGCAATCCTCCGCAAACAGCTACTGTCAAAGACCGAAAGAGTACACGTCTTCCACACGGATTGGCCAGGATTCAAATCCGTAGAGCAATACCGTGGGTACACAGACGTTGTAAACCCTGCCCCATAGCGAAAATGACATGTCGAAACAGCGCCAAAAATGTCTTAATTTGGTAAACGCCAACTGGGCTTTGGTGTTACGAGGAAAGGCCACTGCTCCGATAGTGCGATCGGCAAAAACGCAGCTTCCTAGGTGGACAAAACAATCTACGTGTTCGAGCTGTGTGCCTTCGACAATGAACTGGGGAAGGAATGCCTGCCAGTCCTGTAAAAGAACTTTGCCCTTGGAGGAGGCAAGCCGCATACCATACTTGGACGCTCCACTAATCAGTTAATGAACGAATGCATCCCATTAGGGTCTTCACTGAACAACGCGAAATCATCAGCATAGTCTAGGTCGTTTGCGCGATTACGTGGATGAAGCTCGATGTCGAGATTTTGTAGGCCCCAAGAAGATCCCAAAAGGACATCTTTGAACTCAAAGTTGAAGAGAAATAGTGACACAAGGCATCCTTGTCACACGTCACTGGTGACAGGGAAGAGTGGGGGAAGCGTTCCATAGTCTCTCACTCGGCCTGAGGTATGGACGTATAGCGCGCGAAGCATAACAACGTACTTTCCTGGAACTCCGTACTTCAGCAGGCAGTTCCATAAATCAGGTCGATCTACCTAGCCGAATGCATCCCGAATATCTGGGAAAGTGACGACAGTGGGTCTGCGGTAGAGGTGGCGATTATCCAGGGGTTGGCGAAGATTGGAAAGTTGATTCACACAGCCTTGACCGGAGCGAAAACCAGCCTGCTCCTCCCGACAGTGCACGATGGCTACTAGTAGCTTGGAGGTAACCAATGTCAGACTGATGCTACTGTAATCGACACATGAAGTTTGAGTTATTTTTAACGATTGTAACAATGATAAAATATCCCCGGGAAGATGGGACCATTTCTTCCTGCCAGCTTTTCTTCGTCGCGTTAGTTGCTTCACAAAGGCTATACCGCCGTATTTGAACAACTCTGGGGGAAGTTCATCTGATCCGGCCGCCTTGAAGCGGTTCAAGTGGCGAATCTCAAGACAAACCTCCGCTTCAGTTTGTGGGGCTCGAGCAGCACTAGTCACGGATTGTGACTGGAAGTACTGAGTGTAAAGGTGGATGGAGAGAAACAACTGAACTGAGGCAGAAAGTGCTCAGCCCATCTGTTCATGCGTCTCTGAAAACTAGTGACTTGCGACCCGTGCGTCTCACAGATGACCACGCTGACCTCCTGTGTTCAGCGGTTGGAATAAGCTGAAATAGGTTGCGGATGTTTCCAGTGAGGGCGGCGGTCTCCATCCCCATGGCTATTTGGGACCCCCGAACTTCCTGATCGCCGAAAAGGCTTCGTTTTATTGGTCTGCTGATAATGCGGCACTTGTTGGTCTGGGTTTACTGAGAGAGTTCGGCGGC